TTTTGAAAGCATAGGTATCAGAGGTTTGTTATAGTAGAAACACGTATCAAAACAGGTTCCACATTTGTGGTCTTTTCTGGTCCAATATTATATAGCAGTTTTAGTAGTGACTTAGATAATAGAATAGGAGAGGATTCTGTCATCTGAAGATAACAGCAAGTGGAGGGCAGATGCAGTCATGTTTAAGGACAGGACAATAATTACAAATTTTGTTGAAAAGTTCTGAAAAACAGGTTGAAATTCAGTTAGGCTGACTGCAAAGTTTCACTCCCAGGAAGTAGTAATCAGCTACAGAGGGTAAGGACAGGCTTTCTACTGCAACCACGGTTGTAGTAAACCACAGTTTAACAAGATTGGGAAACACTGGACCGTTGCAAAGAGTTGGACATTATTTGGGGACATATATCTGGGAGTGTCATCCTCAGAACTTGCAAGGTAATCCTTCTGTGTTACCCAGTGCTGACAGGACCTTTTCTGATACACCCTACATAGGCTCCACATTTTAATAACAATCTAGAGAGAGTAAAAAGATGAGCAGGGAGAATGAGGACTAGAAAATTTCATTTGTGAGGGAAGAGTGAAGGAAATGCTGCATATTCCACACAGAAGATGAAGAGAAGCATGCTACAAGACTTCAAATGCCTAAAAAATAGCTGCACAAGAAAGGCAATGCATTCTTTTCCATGTCAACTAGTGGATTACATTGCCGTTAGAGAGATACAGGTTAGGTATTAAGAAAACTTTTTGGACAGTAAGGCCAGAGAAACACTGGAATAAATGACCTAGGATGAAATCTTCATGACTGGAGTTTTCTAGGATGAAGTTAGATGGATGACGTATACAGAGTGATGTGTCTAGAACTGAATCTCCAATGAGGCAGCGGCATTGACTTGAAGATATTCCAGGTATTTCTTATGACTTGTCTGATTGAACAACTTTAAATTATTATGGGAAAGGTGGGGCCAGTCAATTCAATTTGTCCTCAGCTCCTATTTCTATTTTTCAGTCATTTTGCTTTGGGTTAAAATAAAGTACTACATACTGGAGCTAATGCAGATCCTTTCCAAATCTGTCAAAGTCAGAGTGTTGCAAGTTACAGTTTCAGAAGTTGCATACTCACTTTTTCCCATACACAGATTCTGAGGTTTTAATAAATTTACCTACACAAATGCATCAATTTTATTTAATCTGGTTTTATGAGTCTCATGTTGGTGCTACAGATCTCTACAGCTCCTTCTCATCAACTGTGGAACATGTATTAATGAGTAAAAAATTGATGAGTTTTAGGCTTTCCTCTCTGCTTCCCTTCCCCTCTCCAATCAACAGCTCAACAAAAGAGCTAATAGAAACTTCACTGAGAAACAGAAACCTTTGCATAACTGCCTGTCTGTTGCAGAGGATGGAAACATATGGATAGGCTGGAGAGTCGTATGAGGTGCTGAAAAAAAGTACCCAGATGCAGAGAATTTCCTAAAGGACAAAAGCATGTTAAGAAATCTAATTTTTTATAGTTGGTACCTGTGACTCTTTACCACGGTTCAGTGGAAGCCAGTATTAAAATACGTTTAATCACTGGTATTTCCAAACCAACATATGACTTAAATTGTATGTGCACAGGCATAAGCTGTGGCTGCCCCATCCCTGGCAGTGTTCAAGACTGGGTTGGACGGGGCTTGGAGCGACCTGGTCTAGTGGAAAATGTCTCTGCCCATGGCAGGGGCGTGAAACTGGTTGAGGTTAAGGTCCCGTCCAACCAAAACCAGTCTGGGATTCTATGATTCTATAAACCCCAGAGATTTCTAATTCAGATATGCCCAGCCTCCATACCCTGCTGTGTTGAAATTACTACGTCTAGTCAGGAACACAGTGTAGCCTTACTACATACCTGTGTTCTTGCATAGTGGCCTCTGTTGTTTAAATTACCTAATTGCACAACAGTAGTTGGGTAATTTAACAGCTTCTTTACATATACACCACATGGAAGATGCCTCTTAAATTGATCAGTTTGAGCTATGCTTACATGAAACACAATGTGTTGCCTGTATTTACATGGATCTAACAACTATTCACAACAATTAGGAGAAAAGCACTAGGAATTGTGCAGGTTGAGGAGGATACATCTGCACTGTTCACCCTGGGCCAGATCCAAACCTCACCAAAGTCTATGGATGTCAGTGGGCTTTGGATCAGTACCAAGGCTACTCCTGCCTTTGCTTAGATCTTACTCTGGTAGTTCTCCCACTGAAGTCAATGAGATTATTCCCTGGTATAATAGAGCTCACTGTCAGGAAGATTTTAATGACATTCAACCTACATTTTCCGTGTCTTCATATTACCCCATTAGTCCTAGTTATGCCTCATTATCCTCTTTTTTCTGAGGACCCAATCCTAACCTCCTCACTCAGGCAAAACTCGCACTGACTTTGATTAAGGAAGCAGGATCTCGCTGTCATCTTTACTGTTCAGAGGCTGCTGTAATGCCCCCCCCCTTGATGTCATCATATAGGCAAACCATGCATGGTATTTTTGCTTGTAAAGACCACAGTGCTGAGCCTATGGCAGTACTGAAGAGGAGAGAAAAATGAAAAGATTTCCAGTACAATTTCAAGCCATACAGCAATATGAATTTTTAAATAACATTTGATCTTATAAAAACATTTTATCATCTTTCCATCAGACATATGTACATCCTCACAGCTATATAAAAATTTGTAGTAAAATTATTGCAAGTAGTTTCTTTGATTAAGAACTCAACATTTGTGGTTTAGAATAGCTTTATAATTTGCTGTGGACAAGACAGATAACATGATACCTCTTTCTCAACGATCATTTATTATGTAAAATTTGGCCTTTCTGGATGGTTGCGTAGGAACGTGTTCTAAATTACCAGAAGTTAAATACTTTTTATACATATATAAAAATGGCAGTTTCCTATAGAACTGCATTAAAAGCTTGGATTTTATTTGGAATTAAGACATCACATGTCTCCCGTGGTCTTCACAAATTTTTTCGCACTTACAATTCTATTAGCTTAAAAGGTTAAACTCTGGTAGTAGAGTCTCATTATTTTCTTCTCTTGGTCTGTAATGTTCCAGAGAAGAATATGTAGAGTCCATTCCCCTCTATCTGGTCACTGATCATGAGAGTACCAAGACAGGGGACACTGCCAGGGCAACCTGGTTGAGATGGTATTATTTGTGGCTGATGGGATAAAACACTTTAACATGTCAGCGTAGAGCGATAGTGAGCCCAAAATCCCCTGGTCAAGTATTGTGGGTAGTTCTACCTTCACTTGTTTTTAAAGTTTGTGGAACAAGAGCCTTCTTTTTGTCTGTTTTTGCACAACAGTGGGCACTGAATGGAGGAGATTTTATGGTACTACAGTATCATTAATGATACTATTTATAGTGAATGAAAGAGAAACCCACACTAGTTTGGATTGGAAGGGACCTTAAGGCTCATACAGTTTCAGCTCCCTGCCATGGGCAGGGACACCTTTCCACTAGACCAGGTTGCTCCAAGCCCCGTCCAACCTGGCCTTGAGCACTGCCAGGGGTGGGGCAGCCACAGCTTCTCTGGGCAACCTGTGCCAGGGCCTCACCACCCTCACAGGGAAGAACTTCTGCCGAAGATCTCATCTCAATCTCCCCTCTGTCAGGTTAAAGCCATTCCCCTTGTACTGTCCCTACAGGCCCTTGTCCAAAGCCCCTCTCCAGCTTTCTTGTAGCCCCCTCAGGCACTGGCAGCTGCTCTAAGGTCTCCCCTTAAGGAGCCTTCCCTTCCCCAGGCTGAACCCGCCCAGCTCTCTCAGCCTGTCTCCAGAGCAGAGCTGCTCCAGCCCTCGCAGCATCTCTGTGGCCTCCTCTGGACTCACTCCAACAGCTCCGCGTCCCTCTTGTGCTGGAGGCTCAGGAGACAGTTGGCTTTCTGGGCTACGAGTGCACAATTTTGGGTCATGTTGAGCTTTACGTCAACTAACTAAAAAAAAGAGTGCATGTACATTACACAGTACATAGCAAATACTCCAGAGTAGGTTCCCATTCCTGATGTGTGCTTTCCTACTCTGTTTTGAAGAAATGGTTTTAATTTTTGGGACTCACTGGGAGTTCCCAGTGAGGACATTTTTCCAGTTACAGATATCATCTATACCCACACAGCTATAGGAAACCATTGTCTACATGCTTGCTTTTCCCAGTTTTTTTAGCATATCCTACTAATTAATCATTGTAGATTTATATTTGTATTCCCTTTGCTGTTAGTTATAATTATTTCTCAGTAACTGCACAGACATTGCATACACTAAGATTAAAAAAGTAAAACATTACTGCATGATCTGTATTCACTGCTGTTGTCCTTATTTGCCCTACTCATTCTAATGTTATGCTGGTTTATGGCAAATGGAGGTCCAGCTCTCACGTGACTGTTCAGACCTATTTCTTTAATAGCATAAACCAAAACACGCTAATGTTTGTACCATTACAGAATTGTTCAGGAATGCTACTCTGAAACTCAGCATATACAAGAGGCATTTGCACACTGACTGAAAAAGTTTGCTTCTTTGTTCCAGCCCATCTCTCCTTTTCAGATATGAGGAAGCACAAATTACTAAGATGCAGAAATTCATGCTGAAGAATAATGATGACCTGAAGACTCCATCTGCATCAATGCTTTTATTTCAGACCAGTTTGCTATTCACGATGATTTCCCAGTGATCCTAACTTACCATTCTTTTGCTTGCGCCATGAAGTGTGCAAGTTAGTTTCCTTTCAGATGAAGTTGAGCCAAAGGATGCACTGTAAGACTCCAGAAAGTTTGTTCCAATGTGGCAGAATTCCGTCCCATGGACAGAATGTCCACGGAACCAGACTTGAATTAGTCTGATGTGAACCTCCCCAAAAATACAGTGTGGATACAGGTCCATAGCACCAGTTCTGTTGCACTGTAGATCTTCATTGCACTGCACTAATCGGAACATACCCTTAGCTGCCTATTTTGTGAGGCCAGCCCTGTAGTGCCACCCCATCTCCTGCTATTTAACGTGATCCTTCTTTGCCTGCATTCTGGTGGTGCCGCTTTTTCAATAAAGCAGACAAAAGAAATTGGCAGATAAAGAAGAATGCTTTTCACCGGAGTCCAGGCACTGCCTTGGCTTGCTTACAGAACAAGCAAGGAATGGAATGGGGAAGAAATTCACCCCTCAAGCTTGGATATCCTGTATGAGAAGAGCAACAGTAGCTTTTTCAGAAACAGCATCAGGCTGGATGTTGAGCCATCTCTAGAGTTTAATTATAGCTAGAGAAATTAGGCAGTCACATTAATGCATTGTGTGTATTGCTATTATTTATTGTAGATACACTCTCTTTGTATCATATACTAAAAAAGTCTGGTTAAATTCAGACATGTTTGAAAAGCATCTCACTTTGTAATCAGCATATGAGTACTATTTTTATCTGGTATTACATGGGTTCCACAGAAAGATAAATGTTTGACTGTCAGCACCTCCTATTTCCATTAACCTTCTTTTCCTCATTAATAACTGACCTAGAGCAGTAAGGGCCACCCATGAATTCAAGCAAATAAAACAATCTGCTTCTCTTGGCCCAGTGCTTTTTGCTTCATTGAGCCTTAGCAGAGTAAGCAGCAACATGTCTGCTGGGAACTATTTACAACTCCACAGACAACAGCTTTCAGTGCATTTCCTTGGTCTCACCCATTTAGCCATTCTATCCCTAATATAGTAACCTACTCCATGCTTACTAAAAAACTCATTGATATTTGGGACCTTGAAAACTAGCCAAAACCCACAGAAGATAAGCATAATAGAACACAGATTATTAACACATATATTTAGCATAACAGATCCCAGTATTAATAATCTATTTTTTCCAATTCAGACCTGTTCTGTAAAACTCAACCATGAGGTTGTATCTGATGAAATGGTAAAGCTGCAGAGAAGAAACAACGCACAAAGAAGTGTTTGCAATTCAATACGAAAATGGTGTTTCGGATTTTAATACAGTATAATTGACCACACAGATTTATTTTTTTTTCTTCCTGTGAAACGATAATTTGGTATTAAAATCATACAGTACTTCAATAATGTAATTTTTATAATGACAGCAAAATACAATTTCTGTAATGCAAGTGAATCATAAACTTATTCAAATTAAGCATGTAATATGTCTGACTGCTGTCAGTATTATCCATTTTAAAAAGAACTCTGCCATCAGCTGTTATTGAATACTATTATATTTCAACTATATAACAAAAACTCATGAAGTCACAATATAAACACATTCAAATGCCATGTTGCGTTTATTTGGGAAATGAATCCTGTGGGAACAAGTAAAACTTTTTCTTCTTGACAGTTTTATTGAAGGTTTTTTAAACAGCTGAACCTTAGGAATTCTTTCCCCATTTTCAGCTGAAAACTGAAACTGTGATGGTTTAGACCTTCCAAATATAAAAATTAATTCCCAAGGATACGCAGGGTTCCTACTGCTTCTTGCAGTTGCAAAGAGGCGTAATCTGTGAAGGACAAGACCAGAGTGTAATTGCACTGCTTGTGAAAGTGCTGTTTCATGTGTGTTACTCATCCTCAGACCTTTTTGCTGCTGTTTGTGCAAGAAGTACAATTGTGTGTCACTTCTACAAGATCTTAAAGGAATTTTGATAGATGAGCAGATTGAGTGAAAGAAGCTACCTGAGCAGTTTCTGCAGGTTACCTCACTTAGGTTTTTAATATATAACATTCCTGCCTTTTTTTTTCCTCGGGGCTCCTTCCTCCTCTCCTGCTGGAGAGTGCATGCTCCTTCTCCGTAAGCTGAACAGGCTCCACGAGGAGGCCTGTGCCGTTTCCACAGTAGGCTCTGTAATGTGGGGCACCGCAGAAGCATACTTTGATGTTTTTAACTTATGGTGCTTTTCTCCTTACAGCTGGCAAGTGGAGTGCTTCAGATAAGTATGCACCAGGTCAGGGGGATCTTTGTGTAAACTGAGGTGAGTGTTGGATAGATTATGACTTGCATTGTGCCCCCTTTGATCTGTGCACATATTCACGTTTGATCCCTGCGCAATACACTGAGCCATGCACAAAGCAATTCTGTCTCCTTTGTCTACGGCTACTAGATACTACATTGGGGATTGTCATCTGTTTTCTCATACGTATGAACTGAAATACAGATAATATTTCCTTATGCTGCTGTATTTCGTTTTCAAAGATACGTTTTATCGATTGTAAATTTTACTTCTTACCAGCAATACATTACCCTGGAAGCAAACTGAGTTAAGTGTTGTCAATGTGGCTGTAATTCCTTTGCAATTGTATGAGGTGTGAAATTCACTTGACTGTTCTTACTGAAAGATCTGGAGGGTGGGAGATTAAAAAAAATTATTTACTTCTGTCAAGCAAGCATGGAGAAGTACAGATTATGTATATCATCTCTAGGAAGAAGATGGAGGAGCTGTGGTTCCAAAAGACATCCCCAGAAGAAAATGAAAAGGACGTAGGACAAACATTTTGGGGTTTTGGTTTAGTTTGTTTTTTTTCCTTTTTCATCATATATATGATACGTGTAAAGAGACAGTAACAGTTTATTACACTAAAAGATAAAGTGTCGATTGAGCTAAATTAAAGTTTGAAGTAGAAAAAATTATGCAGAATGTCTCTGCTACAAACTTCTTAAAACAACGTGTTTCTCTTGATAGAAACCTTAGTCATGATGGTCACAACAGAAACCAGAAACAACCTTTTTTGGGGTGGACAAATAGTCTTTATTTTTTTTAAATGGATTTAAGATAATTTTTACTCTTTACTTCAAAATTGTGATCCACTCTTAAAAGCAGGCATTAAATTTTATAAGAAGAAATTAACTCATTAATTAAATGTGGGACTCTCTGTAAAATACCTGCATTGATACTGTTGATTCGGTGTTTTGCCTTCTCAGTCACTACCTTAGCATGGCACTAGGAGGCAACCTGCTAGTACAGCTGTCCTTCCTCAGGCATCAAAGTCGTTAATATTGTCACCTTTCAGCATCAAATCTCACTGTTAATGGGAAGGTTTTGGTGTGTAAAATCCCAGCCTGTATTACTACAGTCTCCTTAGTGTCTTCCACGTTATACAAAATGGCAGACTGGTGGTTAAGAACACCTTCCTGAGGCTTTGACCACAGGTTCAGTCAGTCATGCCAATTTCTAATGTATTAAATGTACAAGTGAAGTCAGGTGAAGGGATATTTAGACTGCTGGTCTTGACAGGGCTGTGATAGCTAAATTGCCTGCATTGACAAGACATGTGTCTCCAGGTACACCCAGAAGCAGACCAGCTTAGATAACCTTGGGGGGGGGGGGGGAATTTATGCCTTTCTCTCTACTGTTGACATCTCTAGGACAGAAAGCAGCCAAAAAAGGGGTTGGGGTTGCAAATGCAGTGTGGTTTCAGGTACCAATGGTTACAGCTAGGTAGAGTTTAAGCTTTTAATGGAAATGAGCATACAGAACAATAAAAATGATAATCGGTCAGAAGAAAGAACATGGACATTCTCAATCTGGGCACCAAAATGTGTTCATTTTCATCTTCTCTTTACCTCGGTTTACATCCTTATTATTTTCATTGCCATTCTGAAAATTAGATGTTAGAAACATGACAATCATAGGCAAATCTAGGAGAAAGTTAATAGGTCGGGTCAAAAAAGGGTACTACGCTCTACATAAGGCTGTGGCCACATATAGAAAAATGAGGTTGAATGAAAAGTCAGTAGACTGTAAATTTATTACATATGCTAAATTAGCAGATGGTCTTTCAAAAAAAAGTAGCCTAAGTACATGTCCTTTAAGAATTGCATCAGCACGGGTAGTGATGCATATGGGTAGAAACTCAAGTTTCATGGGCAAGAGCCACACCAGCTCTTCCTGGCTGTTTTAGTGCTTGACTTTGCCACCTTAAATCGTTCTATTGCCATAAAAGTTCCTTTGTTGTCGTTTGGGTGCAAAGGTATATTTATGTATTTTCCAATTCTGTAAAGAACAGTGTTTAGATGTTTTGAAAGATTCAGTGCCTATCACAGGGGGACTCATAAAGAGCTGGAAACATGTTTTAAAAAATGCTCTCACAAGTGTAAACTAAGACAGAAAGTTGAGTTTGGTTTGGTTATGTCTGTGCTCCTTTGTTTGCTTTTAGTGAGTATTTTGGCTAATAGATTTACTATGAGGACTGCTCACACCAATAGCACATTTTAAGCAAATGTTTTAAAAATCTAATGGTTATTTAGACTGAATGTTTTCACTAGGAATCTAACTGTAAGCTTTACTAGTTTTAATGTATGTTTTATTATTAAAGCATTAAATTGGAAAGTATGTTTCTGCACACATGGTTTTACATTTAATTAGGAATTGCTAACTCCTGGGTTACATAGCAACTTCCAAGAGGGCACTGCAGGTCACTTGCTTGGCTCTCAAGAATTTAGGTATTAAGTACTTTCAACAATATAGCATAAATTCTCAGACCTTTTCATTAGGTTTATAGTTGGACTTGATGATCTTAAAGGTCTTTTCCAACCTGAATGGTTCTATGACTCTGATTCCCTTCAGTGCTGCCTTCTGTATAAGCCAGTCTTAAAATCTGTATTTCAAATGCTGGGATGTGTTGTGATATTGTTAGGTACACCAAATGATGCATTAAAACAGGCACTGCACATTTTTTAAAGGAAACAGGTAATTTTGAACTGGGATCATACATAACAAAGGAAAAAAAATCCAGTAATTCCAATTTTTAAGTCTGCTTAAATGTAATTATTTATCTACAACTTCTCTTGGCAGGTTTGAAGTCTTACATAGAATCTTGTCTTGGATTTTTACAACCTCTTCCTTCACATTTTAGAAAAAAATAATCAGGTTTGTGTCTCTCTCATAGAAACATAATTAACATCAGTGGTGTATGGAATTAATGCTGCCTGTAAGGAAAGAGCTTCACAACTGAATCATAGATTTGCTGCTGTGCAGTTCGAAGATGTGAGCTTTGCTCACAAGACAATGGGTTTATATGCTGTATTCCATAGATTCTCATTACATGTCTTGTGTCAGCAAAATTATATTTGGCAATCTCACCACTTGCATCAGCTCATATTAATATTATTTGTAAGACAAAATGGTCCTTGATACTATGCTTCTACTCATCAGAAATAATTTTGCTCTAGAATGCTAATATTAAAGTTTATATATGATTACATTACTGTTTGTTTTAATAATTTCCAATAAAAACAACTACTGTTTTAGTGGTTCATGTTATTTTCTTGTGTTTCCTGGCAAGTACTGCATGTCTTTATAAGGAATACAAAAACAAGTTGGCTGCAGCTCAGCTGAGAGGCTGACTCCGTAGGCTGTGTGCCTGGTGGAGGCTTTCATTTAAACCAGTGCTGTGGACAGGGCATATCAGATGGGCTGCCTTCTTCAGCTTCTGAATTGTGCTCCCTTATACTGAAAAACTACAAAACAACATTAATTAAGACTTCAAATATAATGGAAAACTGCTAATCTCAAAATAAAAGCCGGCTAGGGAAAGCAAGAAAGGCTGATAGCATACAACAGCTCACGAAATGGCAGCTGCTTGGGTGCACACCACCATCCTAGACATGCACTACCTGCAAAACTATTAAGCAGTAACTACATACGCAGAAAACACTACCAACTGCAGGGTGGTTTTGGTGTTGTTTTGTTTGTTGATTTGGGGTTTGTTTTTTTTTCTCTTGAGGAATAATACAGAATAAAAAGCAACTTCAGATTGCAATTAGGTGTAATTAAACGTACTGCAGTTTCAGCTCAAGAACAAATTCCCTGTCCGTGTATAACCTAAGGTCTCAGTGAATATAATGTGCATGTATTGATAGATCATCTCACATTATATAATATTTGAAACACTGAAGCCTACAGACAAAAAAAACCCAACCAAACAAACCAAACCTAGGAATCATGGAAAATGCAGTTGTGTTGGTATATTTTGGGAAATACATGAAGTTTTTTTAATAGTTGAAAGAAAACAGTAAACCCTGACATACAGAGATATAGTTCTAATTACCACCCTATCACGGATATTTCAGCAAAAAACTGCATTTCAACCTTTTGCAAATTATTGTTTGGCCGGTTTAACATATTTGTTATTGGCTGTTGAAGCTGAGGACAGGAAACTTTTTCACTATTACCTCTTTTCAGGAAGAAGCAAACCATTCAGACCCAAAATTGAGGGCTGTTCTTACCCTGTTCAGAATGTGAAATTTTTTTCTCTCAGCACTTGTATTTGTTTCAGAGCTCTTCTCTGGCTAGTCTGGTTTATATTTCCTCCTAAAATGGACAAATTCTACAGTCATTTAAATCCATCCAACCCTATCGACCTCAGCCATATTCTTACCCTGATTTACAGCCTCATTAGGATTTTAATGATGTAAATGAAAGTAGAATTTGCTCCTAAATCTTCACTCTACATTAAAGAGTGTGTTCACCTCTCACTGCAGGATGTGGGAGTATGTGCCGCAAACAGAGAACACACAGCTAAAACTTGGCAGGCAAGGTCTCAGCGAGAGGGTGGATTTTTTTGTTGTTAATGTTGAGCTCACTTCTTTCCTTAGATAAGCAGGCACACATTCCCATGTATCTTGTAAAATCTTTAACAGCTCTACACATGCATGTACAAGTGTAGCGCTGTTTTTACAAGATAGACAACAATTCTTACTCGCATATCTTTCTGATGAGAGAATCAAGTCATCAGTCTTGAATGTACTTGGTTTTACTGAAGTTGCAACACTACAGAAAGGGTAGGCGCTTACCAGCTCCTGGTGCTTTCCTGGAGTACCTGTAGTACAGAAATAGGTCCTCCTGCACCAGAGGTCCAGCCCTGCAAACCTCGGAATGGGTCATGAATGAGAAAGTGTGTCTGCAGGATATTTATTTCTCTATTTAGTTCGAACTCTTAGCCTTAAAGCCTGATCCAAAGCTCACAGAAGGAAAATTCTCATTAACTTCAGTGCCCTGAATCAGTTCCTGAAAAAAAAGAAAATAACATGTATCCCTTTCAGTATCTTCCATCAGTTTAAGCCAGAAAACCCTTATTGCTTCAAACACACTGTACACAAAACAGTAGCTATGAAGGACTCAATATTTGTATTACACACTGCATTTTACAGCACAAACCAGCAAGTTTACTCTGCCCTTATGCTCTCTGCAGTTCGAGTGTATGTGTAACTCCTAGTAGAGAACCACGTCACATGAAATGATTCTCCTCTCACCCTCAAAACTATCTTCAAGGAAGATCTTTGCTGGAACTTGCTGCTGAAGAGTCATTTCCATGAAGTCTTACCTTAGAAAATTATTAGAAAAGCAGAATGATCGGACATCAGAATGGCCCTGGGCAGCTGATTTGATACACTGAGCCTGGAGTTCATTCACCCATTGCCATCTGAACGCCAATAAACTGCAAGCAGTGTCACATACACTTTTATATCGTTAATGGAGAATCATGGTGTGGCCAGTAACACCAGTACCATGGTTGAGGGCAGCCTGATCAGGGACACAGATTGCCACTTATAGCAAGATGATTAGTGCAAGATCAGGCTGCACACCACATGGACAGGTTTGAATGATTATGCACAAGAGGAAGAATTTAAGGATTTCTTGCATATGTTAAATTAGGGCTGTTTGGTTTTGAGTTTATCTTAAAGCACATCAAAGCTTGATTACTTTAAGTAATAGGTGAAGTGCTGCAGAGTCAAGAAGCAGAAGAATTTTTAAAGCTCTTACATAACTCCAGTGATATTTTTAAGCATATTAATTGGCAGGTGCTTCTCACAAATAAGGAGGTGACTTTCTGAAAATACATCTGCCCCTAGGGTATAGCATGGCTTATTTTGTAACTTCCATCACAGCAGAATTCATCACCTGTAAAAATGAAAAAGGTGGCACTCATTTTCAGAAAGAAGTAGTCAGGAGGAAGCTTTCCTCCCCAAAACAACACATAGCTGTGAACAGACCAGATCAGGAAGGGAACACAATCAAAACCAGGGAATACTTGAATTCTGCACAAGCGTTCAGGCTCCCCATGACCCTCTCTCCCCACTCTGCAATCTGTTGGTGATTGCAAGTGCTGGGGACCCCATTATCTCTCCAAAGGGATTCAGCATCAGTGGTAGAAATTATTTGTGCAAGTGAAGTTTGTGGGATCTAGTCATCGTTTATATACATATGTATGTATATGGCACGAGCACTGCCGCAGCAAGCCCATGGATGGGCAGTGGCAAGCCTCATCACTCTGCTGTCATCCTCATGGCTTAAAATGGCAGAAAAGATGGGGGTAAAAATAACAGTGTGTTTAAAAACAGCACTGCCAGTAACTGGTTTATATCCATTTTCTCCCTTTCCCTTGATACAGATATCCTTAACACCCAGCAGAGAGAAACACTTGGATCATGCTGCATGCGCGCAGCTGAGCAGGGGGAAGCATCAGATGCTGTGCCCCTATCTTGAGGGTGACAGACACGGCATTTTACTATAAATGGTTATATATTAATACACAGAAACCTGTCTTAGTAAGGTTTTCTGGATATCTTAATTCTGGTGGTTCAAAGTGAGAGTGAAATTACAGGTGCCAGTTTGCAGCACTGAATGCTGATAAACAACTTGCAATTTTGCAGTGGCTGGTCACATCTGGAGCCTTTTGGGATGCAAAAAGTACTGGAGGATTATTGCAAAACTTAGAGCCACTTAGGTTACCGTAACTTTTTTGGTTTTAACCTAAATTTGTAGATTTTTTTTTTCTTTGGGGGAATTTTAGGTGTTATACTCATTTAGCTAACCAGCTAAGTCAGCAGCAGAGCAAGAAGAGAGACAGGTCTATAGCTCTTGTCAGGAAACTTCTTGTTTGACCTTAGAATGAGACAGGCTGGTATAAAACCATGGATCTGTGGATTGTGCTCCGTTAATTTCAGTGTGTTTTAAATCTCCATAATCTACAATCCCTGACTCTGACCTAGCAGTCCGACTACATTAGCCCGCAGCATTCAACAGACTTGTGCAACGTTGAAATAAACCTGCTTGATAAATTTAAATTCTCCTTTTTGCACATTTAAGTTAGCGTAATATACTTCCGTAGCTTAGAAAATGAACAGACACAGGTACAGAGACTGATGGATGGACCCACAGCACTGGCTGGGAAGGTCCCTTGCTTTTGCATTTTGTTGTTCATGTAGTTATTCTGGTATGGGATACATTGACATAACATCAAATTTGGTTTTATGTATTGCTGCAGTCTTCTACTATTTTCAAAGCACTCGGTTATTCTCTTTTGAAAATCCCTGCTGAAACCTGAGAGGCTGTTACGAATTAAAACCTGTTTAGAATACTGTCTTTTTGTATTTGTTAGCATGTGTATGGAAACACAAAAGGGCTTGAAGGTTTCACTCTTCCTGTTCCTTGTATGCTGTAGTGTTTTGAAATCCTTGCAAAATCTCCATCAGGTCACCGTACTAAAAATTATGCATGTATGCAGTTAATGTTCCCTGACTGCTTCTGATCGGCTATGTCTGTTCCCTTTCTGTGCTCTCCTGTTGAGATCATACAATCTGAATGTAACATACAACAGACTGGTCAGAACTCCACACCCTAGCGAATTTATAAACCCTGCTCATGGAAGAAATATTCCAACCCTTACAAAATAAAAATCTAAATGCTAATATGCACAGGTTTTGGTTCTCCCCCCCCCCCCCCCCCTTAACATTTAGTATATACTACTTGTGTTAGAAATATCTGAAATGGCTTTGATGTATTTTCTGTTATTATCCACAATTTCCTGTTATGTAAGGTATCTCTCAGGAGACTTTGTACTTTGTACTCGAGAATAGGTTGCATTGGGAATTATAGCTAAGATCTGGCCCAGTCTGTGTTTTTAGCTCACTGAGCATTGCTGTTGTGGAGAGCACTGTATTTTTCCTATACTGCTTAGTGTGTTTATATAAAATATTCACTCTGAAACTGAGAATGCTCCAAATTTATCCTCTTGTGGCACAGATGATCTTTCATGAGAATACGGTTAAACACAGGGTTTTTTGCTTCAGAGAAGATATTGTCAAGTTGGGTCTGGCTTTCTTCCCCCTTCTGTTTGAAGGTCAGTGATCATTTAGGACAGTTTTCTGTCATGCATTTCAAATGCTAAGGCAGTGTTTGTAGCAGGATATATGAGCCATAATTTATCAGTGAATCTCAATTTGTTCTTCAACTCCCTTATGGTAATGTGGTGCAGGGAAGCATGGTTTCATTGAAGCTCCCATTTGACGATAGTAAACATCTATAACCATCAGACTGCAGTCTTTAGTCCTGTGACAATGCCACATGCAATGCTTCGATCCCATTGAGAAGTGTTTGTTTGCACGTTAATAGCTGTGGGAAGAGACATCTGATTGTTCTTCCCCTTGACCACGTGTTGGCTGCTGGCAGCTTTGCTGGTAGCTACCTTTGGTAGCTTTCTTGGGAAAACCAGCATGGGCTGGTGAGGCACTGGGACAAGTTGCCCAAAGAAGTTCTGAATGCTCCATCCCTGGCAGTGTTCAAGGCCAGGCTGGAAGGGGCTTGGGTACCGTGGTCTACTGTGAGGTGTCCCCGCCCATGGCGGGGTGGGGTGGAACTTGATGATCTTACGCTCCTTTCTAACCCTAACCACTGTATGATTCTATGATCTCGTATCTCAGTGTCATACCTGGCAGTGCCCTTGACTTTCTGTATTTTCCTCTCACTGTTCTCTCATAGCTGCTGCATTTAAAGTCTGTTCTGCTCCTAATTTCATCTTATTCTACTCCTCTGTCATGAAATGGCTTTGCACAAATAGTGTGTGTGCGTGCGTGTGTTTGCCAGCAAAAGTGCATGCATCAGGAATTATCAGCATGTGCAGGAGTTTTCCATTTTTTCCCATCTCTAAAGCTGCCATTTTTGCCTTTCTTGACATTTTCTATGTGCAGAACATCATGAGAGAACTCCTTTACAGTTCCATGGCTCAGTGCAGAAATACCTATGGCTTTAAAAGTTTGCCAGTAAACTATTTTAAGAGATATTTAAAATGTTATATGTGTCAAATATATTCAGTTTTTATTAACCAAACCAGTTCATAATGTACAGAATTCCCTCTTGATTCTTTCCCTTATGTACCCACAGACCACAGGGCCTCAGTTAACCCCCTGCTTTTAGTGCCCTGTCTCTATTCCAGAAGGGAAGAGGCAAACTTTCACATTTAGTTAAAACATTTTTGACTGACATACATGCCATCTTGATGCAAACAAACAAAAAAAGAAGAGGGCCTTACTTGCAGGGTAACCTGCCATTTGTTTTGCCAAGCTGTTATCTAGTGTAACACACCTACACTGGCGAGGCAGAGCCCTTAACCACAATGTTCATGTTGGATTTTACTTCACAGAAGAATGTTTCTTGACCCTGGCTCTGATAGCAGCAATCCAGAGGCCTTCCAACACAGCTCTGGCTCAACAGTGCCCACAAACGCCCAGCACACCATCCTGCACTGTCAGCAGGCACAGAGCAAGAATTACAACCATTTACAGCTCTCTGAATACTGCTGATTCATTGACAAAACCGGAATTGCACTGTATGATACCAGTACTATTCATAGCCCTTCCACCCCTCTTGCAGGCTGTAGTATTTCTAAACATCACCACTGCTGTCAGGAACTGAAGATGATCTGCGAACCTCTTTGACCAGCACTGGATCAGAAATCATTAGTAGTTTCTTACCCACAACTTTACTCTTGTTTGAAGGTTGGGATTTGATGAACTACCTATAAATATGGCAGCTGGGTAACTTGGTAAGGAGCATGACATTCAGATTTGTGGATGCATTTTAAGAAAAGAATACAAAAAACAAAGGTTGCTGCTCAACTGTGAAGCATTATAGATCAGTGTGCTGCAGGACAGTGGGTGATTTCCCAGTTCCTAGTCACTTGAGCAGCTCTGGGACTGGATGCCTGGATGCTATACTTGACCCTCAAACCTCTCCTGACAGTTGGCTGTAGTACTTCTGCTGCATTGGTAAATGATATAATGAATACAGTTAAAAGGAGGGGGATACATGGGTTAATGAGCTGTTGGCATTTCTCCTCTGTTTTGTGGTCACAAAACAGAGGAGAAATGCACTAAATAAATGTGTGTATTTAGTGCACACATTAGCTAAGTGCACTAAGTAACTTCATGCAAATTCAGCGCATTTGGGAGTCCTCATCAGAAAGAATCTAAACTCGGGCACAGATGATTTAATGGTGAAATGGGGATCCCTCTGAAAAGATGTCATTGCAAAGAATTCACTGATACTGAGACCTCTTGTGCCAGGGAAAAAACAAAACGCAACTAAACAAAATGCTTTTAAGCTCCATTTCCAGGCAGGAGAGGAGCCTGGGACCCGTTGTGAGCCCAGGGGCTGCTGAGTGAAGTGTAGAGACCTCAATGGCCACCAAGCTGCTGACTGGGGACATACCTTGAGGTACTTCTACACTGCAGTCAGCAAACATGGGGAACTCTTGAGTTTTGAGCTGTGCCCACAGAGACATTCTTCCTTGCCTGATGGTGTTGGAGGATAGTACAAAACAAAGTGCCCTGGGAGCAAGGTAAATGCTGTGATCACTACTCTGCATGGCCATATTCACCTTTTCTACTTAATCCTCCTGGAATCTGGCATGTGTTTCTGGAGGGATGGGGAGATGGCCCTAACTGCCAGCTAGCTCTCTTCTGTCCCTGTGGTGTGTTGAAAAAATGTGTCCAGATCTTTATTATTGGAAGGCTCTGTTCCTATATATCCTGAGAATATGTACCAGGGGCAGAGGAGGGAACTTGAACAGAAGGATGCGTACCCTCCAAAGTGCAGTGAGAGTTAGGGTGAGAGATGTCCAA